GTAACAGGATACGATCTTGATCTTTAGAATTCGAAGAGAGGTGCAGCAAGTGGCAGGTGAAGAGTTTCATGTCTGGCGATGGTTACCGAATAATGCTTTAAACAAATCTCCTGTGCAAAGCGCGCTCTTGGGTAAGAAGCCGAAGGTCTGGCAAGGACAAGCGTTCGAAACGATGGAGGGATCAGTTAATAGCTTGACTTGTTCGCCGACACCTTGCCTGAAAATCAGGCACATGTTTGATCCAGATATGTAAGTAATGCATGAGCGCTATAATCTAAAATTGGTTAACGGGTGATTTAAGTCATCATTTGTACTACGATATAGCGAAACCGAAGACGATTGGGAAACGAGAGTGCAGGATGCCATTTTAGAGAAGTGCGGGGAGGGTGTAAAGATACTTCACATTCGAGTAGACATTGGTAGTCGTGAAGGTTGCGTTTATATGAAGTGTATGTCGCAGGAAGATGCTGGCAAAGCTTACAGGGCATTACATGGTTGTTGGTTCGATGGTACGTGTAACAAGCTATAATTCCTATTCTCTAAACTTAATTCTTAAATACTGACTGATGGCAACCGTCTCGTGTAAAGTTTTCACAGAATTTCGCTAATATTACTGAGAAACTTATGAAATACATAATATTAATGAAGAAGTATTAAAGATAGTACATAATTTTTCTTTTTAATAATATAATATCCTTGTTACAAACTTATGCCAACATTATGCTAATTTTATATTAATTTTAACACATATACTGCAATGTATTTCAATGGACAATCTCTGAAGAATCGATTATTTCACACCTTGGGGTGTATTCCATTTGATGCTTACACGCTTGCGAGTATCATTTGTCTTTGTTCAATATTTTATAAGTAGCAAGGATGAAATGGTTCTAAGAACATTATAAGCATTAAGTGGTGAATGTATCCCAGGTGCGCGAAAGAATTGATTCTTCAGAGAATCGCTTATATTTACTTTAGGATTTTCATTTCCTTTGCAGGTAATTTAGTGACTGTGAAGTACCTGAGATTAGAGCGTTATCACGAGCGATTTCCGGATGCCGCCCGCTGCGTGACCCCTCTCAAGCCAAGTAACAATCAACGATTATCCATGCAAGCGCACTACTGGCAGAGTCCGGCAGAAGCAAATTAAAAAATTCAACAAAATAAAAACCATTTTTGTTCGGACATTCAGAGGAGTGCGAGTTCGCGTTAAAAATCACACACAATTATCCTGCTGATGAGAATTTTATGGAATCTGTCTTTTTATTTATTGACATACGTATGTGCCGTACATCATAAATATATGTTATAGGATTGAAGACATTTCTATTTTAAAGAGCATTTTCTTTTAAATTCGCTAACTTGTGTATTATATTCTACTTTGTATCTTTTATGAAACGACACGGAAGACATGTTTTAATAGTTGAGTAATAATAATTATAATATTGATAACAGCACACAGTAACATTAATATATAATTAAATATGCTTTTAAAGGGCTGTAAAAAATTTTTTCATCTGAGTTTTATAGTATTTTCAAGTAGCAATATATATGCGTAAGCATAACGTACATCGCATTCTCTATAGGCCTATCCAGATTAATTTAGCATCTATTACACGAAGCATACATGCAGAGAAATACGATCTTATATCTCGGATAGTGGCTGGCTAATATGCGGAATATGGCAGAATACAATTTTCTATATATCAGGCTTTCAATCGTGATCTCTGTCTGTATGGCTACATCATTATCATTAATGAAAATATTGATTCAGTTATTTAAGATTGTATTAACAATTCTTTTTTTTTATAATCGCATAAGAGTTATTTTTTACGATATGTATCATAAAAATGTACAGTAAAAATAAGATTAAATCACTTTGTAAAAAGACATTGAGTTAAATGATAAAATGGAAACTGGATACGTTGATTATTGTTTAAAGAGCAATAAAATTGCGGAACGAATCAACGTATGCATTATAAAAAAGTTTAGAGTATATGTATACACACACACGCACACATTTATTATGCTATAGTAAATTAAAGAATATACATTTATGGTAAAAATAAAATAAATTAAAAAATTATACGTTATATATATATTATAGTTCAATAATTGCAGAGTTAATTGATGTCGTCACCCGAGTTTCAATATTCGCGCCTGTAATGCGACATTAATTTTGCAATCTATAATTATTCCGAGATTATTTCGCAAACATTTATTTAATATATTTGACAATAATCTATTGAGGGCGGTATATTTAAAATTTTAAAACTATAATTTATATTTTTTTATCATTCTGTTGCGTTTATTATCGATCGTGCTGTGGTTATGATATTTGCCGCAAGAGGACGTAAGCTCACAGCAGGCGTTTTTGGACTTGTCATAATAGTGAACTGAATAATACGCAAACATAACCTGAAACCGCGTCATGAGAAAATTTAATTTATTGAGAGTAATGCTTATCTACTGAGAGTGATTGCGCGAGGTGTGAACTGTCAAAAGGACCAAAAATGAAGTATTCCACGTCGCCGCCAACGAGTCGGTGTCACTCGCCCGTTCCGACAGAATTCTCGTCCTCGTTGCCGATGCCGATCGTTTACAGGTAACGTCACGGACATGCATCGCCTCATTTTTTTGTAATTTATAATTTAAATATCAACGTATCCAATTTCCGTTTCATCGTTTAACTCGATTGTCTTTTTACAAAATGATTTGATCTTATATTGCATGCATTTTAGAATTTTTATTATAATTTATCGCTTTGTGCTCCAAGGTAAAAAAAAAGTAGTAAAGTGGCTTGATTGAATGACTTGTATCTTATATTGCAGACATAATTGTATGGGGGCGGCGACAAAATCTTACAAATATCTGAGAAAATTGTTGAAGTTCGAACAGATGGATTTTGAGTTTGCTATGTGGCAGATGGTCTATCTATTTGTAGCGCCGCAAAAAGTATACAGAAACTTCCAAAACAGAAAACGTATGTTACATACCGATATACCGATATACCAGATGTACTACTAGCGTATATTCTAGTCTTATGTCCATTGGATTTTTACAGAAACAAAATCACATTTTGCAAGAGACGACCCTGCATTTTTAGTATTGGTCATGGGTTGTTTCTGCATATCTACCATCGGTTTGGGATTGATGTTGAATTTAAGAGTATTGCAATTCACGAAGTTGTTACTTTATATGATGTTCATTGATTATCTAGCTGTTGGATTGTTAATAGCAACGATATTTTGGTAAGCTAATTGTAAGGTTGTACTGCTTTTTTATGATTGTACTTTCTGTATAAATGAGATATTAATTAATTTATCAACAAATTTAGCTCTAAATTTATCAAATTATCTATTTCTATCAATGTAGATTAATTTTAATCTTGATTCATCTTACTTTTCATTTTTTTCAATTTTAAGAATTAGAGAGAAAGATGAAGAGTAAATTAAATCAAGATTAAAATTAATTTATATTAGTAGAAATTAAAGTTAATCAATTAAAGCTAGCTCAAGTTTATCTTCAATTTTTAATTCTATATGTTCATTTATAGGTTTATAACAAATCGATATCTCAGGATAGACAGAACACAAGATGTTGAATGGGGCTATACATTCGACATCCACTTAAATGCAGTGTTTCCTCCATTAGTTATACTTCACATTTTACAATTATTTTTATATAATGGTTAGATTTCATGTATATTTTGTATCATTGTCAAGTATGCACCATCAAATATTATTTAATGCATTTCACTTTTGCAGGTTTCATAAACAATGATACATTTTGGGGACGATTCATTGGGAATACTTTTTGGTTTATAGCTATCGGTTATTATATTTATATAACGTTTCTCGGCTACGCAAGTAAGTTAAGAAAACGCAAAGTTTAAATAACACAATCTATCTCTTCTCCTTTTATTGTTTTAGATACATTGATTGTTACTCTCATTTCAGGTATCGAAATACTCCATAAAACTCATCTGATATTGTCCACTCTACCTATAATGCTGCTGACATACATTATCACATTATGCACCGGTATTAATATCAGTTATTTAGTTATAGAATTCTACCGTTATCGTGCTTTGTAAAATATTTTTATCATATCTGTATGAATGTCAGAATAATACTGGTTGTACAGTATAGAATTCTTTTATTCTAGAATCGGTAAAACAGTGTCACCCTTTTACTGTGGAATTTCTCCTTGATTTTCACTCTTTATGTTTTTATTTGTTTTCTTGTTCTACGATTTTGTTCTATGTGGCAAATAAACGGAGCAACGGGAGAAAATACCAAGAGGAGAATTTCATTATAGAGGTACAGCTGTTTCCAAATAGGTATTGAAGACTTTTTCAACGATATTGCATCCCAAAGAATGATTTTTCATGATATATTTATTTTTTGTTTGTATTCCTAAGAGAATTATCAAGCGCCATGTTTCAAATATAATCGGCTTAGCAGCGAGTATTTATGCGAGAATTTAATTGTGATATGCTTCTTAAATTCACAAATAATAGAAAATTCACAAAATATCGATGATACCATGAATATACAGATGTGTTTCAGTTTGGAGACCTGTAATATCAAGTTTATATATTTATAACTTAATTTTATATATTTAAAATCGTCTTAAACGTTCCTCCAAAATATGAGCTCATTTAAATGTAAGATTGAATTTTTTTTTAACAAATTTAAAACGCTCAGAGATCAATCTACGAATATTGCTTTATAAATACCGCCCTAAAATTGTGATAGCCAATCACTTTCTGTAGTGTAATTGTTAGAGAAATAAGAAGTAAATGAAGAAGCGGGCAGTTTCCTTTCTGCTACAACTTGATTCGTGTTCCATAACGAAACTAGCGCCACTTGCAGTGCGAGGAAGCATCGCCGAACTAATCGCTGTACTTTAAATTGTGAGATTTGGTGGGAATTGTCAGCTCTTCTTTGGCGGCTCTGTTTTTTGTTCGCCCGGTGTTTTTTGTACATAAATAAAATAGAAGGGAAGAATATAATCGCGCGCAATGAGTACGCAAGGTTCTTCCGTAAAGTTGAAAGAGCTGCGTCTACCGATCTCGAGGGTAAAGACAATTATGAAGAGTTCGCCTAGTGTCGATACCGTCGGCCAGGACGGTTTGTATTTGGTCACAAAAGCTACGGTAAGATGCACTTGGAGGTTAGAGATACGTTCCTAAAGAAAGTCCATCACGATTCATTAATTTATTAAATAAGTAACGACTAATATATTGAATATTCAAGCTGTATTAGACACATCAACATAACAGTCATATGTGCATAACACAGAATAAATATTAATTTTTTTTAGTAGAATCTAATAATTTTATTTATTTCCTGCCTTTAAAGCTATAACACCCAAAAAACTTAGGGTCTTAACAGAAAGCTGACTTATAATATTAAGAGTCTTATGACTTAAGTCTTATAATCAGGGTTGGGTAAGTTAACTTTTTTTTTTAACTAAGTTAAGTTAAAGTTAACAGCCTTGAAAATTTTAATTAAAATACAAGTCAATTCATAATAAAATTAATTGAATTAAAAGTTAAGTTAATAAAAAAAGTAATTGAAAAGTTAAAAGTTAAATTTGGTCCGAGCGAACAAAAAAAAAAGAAAAAGTTTGACCATTTTACATAATTTTGCATATTTTTCCTTTCTCACAGCATATTTATTAAAGAATCTGGTTACTTTTGTTCACGAGTAATGATTAAACAATATAAAATTACTAAATTATATATTCATTATCTTCTCTCATTGTGTCTGAGGATTAACTTCAAAAAAATCAAATTAAAAGTTAATAGTTACCGATAAAATGTAACTAAATTAAGTTAAAAAATTAAGAGTAAAAATGTAACTAAGTTAAGTTAAAATTAATTAACTTGTTAACTTAATTTTTATCCTTTTAACTTAGTACTACCCAAACCTGCTTGTCGTACAATAGTTCTTGTGCATTACTAAAGACTTAAGTCATAAGACACTGTCTTAAGATTATAAGTCAACCTTTCTGCTATGGCCCTTAAGGAGATGCTGGAGTGACTAAACTATTACATTATAGTCGTATAAAAATCTTCGAATTGACTGAACGAAATAAAAAAAACCTTTATATTTACTTGGAATAAAGAAACCTTTTACAGGATTAAAGTAGACGCAAAATTAGGAGGTGGTGCAGTGGACCTTATACTAAAATAAAAAAAAGTTAAATTTTTTAACATTCTTTTGATTTTAGTATAATATCCACTGCACTACCTCTTAACTTTGCGTCTAATCCTGTAAAAGGATTTTTTATTCCATTCAGTCAATTAAAAGATTTTTATACAACTGTAATATGATAATTTGGTTACTCCAGCATCCTCTTAAGCAGTATTCTGGATTTGCTACAGCTTAGATTATTGTCTAACGGTCTCTATTAGCCTTTGCTTAAATCTTTTGTGATAGCCTCTATATTTTTGAACTACGAATTGATTATTGTTAGGCCTTAATTTAGCGTTTAGCCCAATACTCTATAACACACTTTGCACACAGGAACTGTTCATACATTACCTGTCAGAGGAAGCACACATGCAAAGCAACAAGGGATCCTCTTTGGATTACAAACACTTGGCAGAGGTGGTACAGACCAACGACACGCTGGAGTTTCTGCGAGAAATAATGCCTAGGAAGATCACGGTTCGGCAATTCAAGGAAATGATGGCGGCCAAAGAACCGTCCAGCAGTTCTTCTGAGAGCAGTTCTGATTCAGACAGCGACAGTGACTCTGACACGGACTCCTGTTCAGATAGCGATGAAACAAAGGGAGATAATAGGAACTCGTCGAGCAGTGAACAAGAGAGTGAAACCAAGGAGAACGGCGCTTGTCATTCAGACAGTGACAAAAGTGAAAGTAGTGTGAAAAGTGACAGTGAGGAGAACAATAAGAGATGAATTTGTAGATTTCTGCTTCCAACAGACTTAGATTATTTAACAAATTTTGGTTTATCCGGTATTTTTTTATAAACTGTTGTAGAGCAACAAGGTTTATCTAGTATCAAGACTATGCGTCTTTATTGTAAAACAAATAAACGTAGCCAAATGACGCAAAATTTATAATGTAATAGATCATGAGAATTTATTGGAAAAAATATTTTTATATGCTCATGAATCGATGAAAGTACACTCTTAAGGGAATCCTAAAGCAAAGCTCGAACTCTGACAAAATCACTAGATGTTGATCTATTTTTCCAGTGCATCGATATATCTTTGTATACTACCACACCAATATCTTACGCAACCTATGATACATTCAGGCTACAGTCCACTTGATGCTACAAACGCTTTAAAGCATTCTTTGATTAGTCAATTCGTAAAATTCTTTGTTCTGATTGATCGTGCAAACTACGTGTTTGTGGATCACCATTTTGTAAGTACAGATTACAAAACTTTTGTATCAAGCAAATGTTATCATAACTTGACAGCTTGAGATGCCATGTCACACTAAGAAATGGTAAAAAATATATCAATTTCGAAATTTTTGGTCGTTCTCGGCACAAATTCCACCTCACACGTATTAATGCGTATATTTTAATCCTGGAAAAGGATTTTCGAATCTGTGAAAGAGAAAAAAAGTGTTATACAAAAATTATATGATTTAGTCGGTAATACAGGCGGCTTTAGGATCCCCTTAAGATCTTTTTACATGATGTACTTCTTTTCGCATATATTTTTGTACATATATATCTCACGATATTCATTATTCATGTATACAATTATGTTAATCAAATTAGTATTTCTTACACTAATAATATTTATTTATAATGTTTTATCATACTTTAAAATTAAAATTGATTTTTATTTTGATAATAATAAATCAATGATGTCATAATATCTCGTTTTATTTGGTCTTTAAGAATGTTGTATTATACAATCGTAGGCGAGCGACGTACATTTAAAAAATTTTTGTACAATACAAAGTTAGCAAAAGTAGCTAGCGTATTGCTTTATATTAGCATTTTAAAATTATTTTTGCTATAATACGCATATTCATTAATGGAACGACTGAGCTGGAAAAGTTGGAACGTTAGTCTCGATGTAATTTTGTTGATTTGGGTGTGACATCGAAACCATACTCATTTAATTTTAAAGCTAGAAAATAGATCTCGGCCAACGCTATAATTAGCGCGCAAATTATACCTAGGAGTAATCTAAACCCGAAGTCTAGGTCCCCGACTATAAGTTCTACTCCAATGAATCCAAAAGCGAAGCCAGCTATCACAGAAAATATAAATTGCGCGACGGCGATCAGTTGCTTGTTTATCTGCTTCACTGCAAAATAAAATAATATTAGAAACTCGCGTTAAATTATCTTTTATAGGCACTTTATAGATTAAGAACATTATACAAAAATATTTTATTTACTTTGAAATGCAACGCTGTCCTCTGGTAGGAATTTCCGCGCAGAATCAATACTTTTCGTCATTGCCTGATATTCTCTGTTGTTTTGTTGCGCCGCTAATTTTTTTATTCTGGCCTCCAATTCTGGATTTCGTGGTGTCTCCTTTGGCGTCGGTAATATCACATCAGAATCATCGAAAAGTTCGTGCAGGTAGATTTTTTCCGTTGCAGTTTTTCTGTTCTCTTTCAGATACTTGTTCAGCCATCTGAGATCCTCGATTTTTAACGTGGCATTTGCAATCTTCTCTTTTTTGAATTTTTTTGATTTGCTGTGCAAGTACGTGATACCATCCGGTGCCCCATCTGTATCTTTCACATCGTATAAGATGAAATCTGTCAATTTCTTAGATGGTTTTATTGTTACAGTAGGATCTACAATCGACTCTAGTGGCATATCTAAATAAATTTAATTTCTATCTTAAGGAAATAATTAGGTCTTTATTAAACGCTGAAATACTCTAGGAGAGATAACGAATGACATAAAATAATTGTTATGGCGTAATATGTAATTTCTTTTCCAAGTCAACATAGAACTCCTGTATTTCGTTTTCCTTCTCCTGGAAAGTCTGGTCCACCCTTTCACATTTATTGCTCATATCATTTATGAATTTCTCCCACTCCTTTTTCCTAAGCAATCTGTTCTCACTCAAAACGTTATCCTACAAAAAGTTTCTATATGAATCTACCGTTTCTTATATCATGTGAGGTAAATAAAAGATACAAAAGGTACAAAAGCTAGCATACGTACACTATCGAAATTTTCCTCCCTCTGTAAAACACGGTTGCACATACTCAGCGCGACATCGACATTTGCCTTGAGGCTAGGTAAATGACAATCACCAAGTTGCTCAGTGCGATCCAACTGGCTCTCCTTCAGTTCTGTCGTGTACTCTAGTATTTTAAACAGACGTTCTACCTCTCTGTCAGACCTCTTTTCCTAATAATGGATGCAATCTTGTAGAATCATTCGGTATTGAAAACTTATTACTGTATACATTTAAATATACATATATATATATATATATATTAATGTAATACTTAATTACTTGACATTCAATAATTTCTAAAATACAGACAATATTGATGTCATGATATAAATTGAAATTAACTCTAATCGGTATTTGTTACAAAAATTTCTTTAATTGACGTTATCAAATCCAGTATACTTTAAATTAATATATTTTTGCTTAAAGTTTAAGTGACAATTTTTTTTCATCTTTAAGGTCAAAATTCAAGGAAGCTCATGCAATGTAAAATTATGTAAGGTTACGAATATAACTTAAACAATTTTTTATAATGTAAAAAAAATCAGGGTTTGCAAATATACTGAATCCACAAATACCGATTAAGATAAAAATAAATTCTAAAAATTTATAAATTAACAACTAAAAGAAGCTCTTTAAAAAAGAATGTTAAAACGTTTTCATGCAGACAAGAGCAATCATAATCTCCAACAGCATTTTTGTTTATAATTGAGTCTTCACGATTCATAGGTTATGTCAACGCATTTAAATCCCATCTTGACCGAATATCTCTACTTAAATTCCAATTCGTTTAGTCTGCATGACGATGGTGCCGAGATAACCGCCGCTGTTATGCCAGGTCCGCGATCAGCAGGAGCTCACCTGAAATTCTCGCAGGAAGAACGTGACCTCCCCCTGGATGAACGGACGATGGTCGAACAATCTACCCCAGATCTCGCCCGTGTCTGCGGAAACGCGTATGATTCAATGATAGTGTGCTAATGCCTAATGTTAAGTGCGTTATGTACATCGTTCTTCAAGTATACGTGCAAGCATTTTCATGCGTTTTAGAACGATACCGTGATTGCCGCACCTTTGATGACGGACGCCATGTCGGTGTCAATGGAACAGACGACACGTGACACGTCAGACGACGGATGTATATCGCCCGTCACGTGACTGACTGTACTACTATTGGTGCGTTCGGGGAGACGCTAATAGCGCTATCTGTCATTCTATCTTCGTTGTTTATTAAACGTAAAACAAGGATAGAATGACACAATAGCGCTATTATAATTGTACTAAACTGGCCGCTATGGCCTGTTTCTATCAATGTGGATTAACTTTAATCTTGATTTAATTTACTCTTCTTCTTTTTCTAATCCTTGGAAATAGAAAAAGATGAAGAGTAAGTTAAATCGAGATTAAAGTTAATCTACAATTGGTAGAAACGAGTATATGTCGGACTAGTGGAATCAGTGGAATGGACTGCACGTTGCGCAGACGGCGATACGCCGGTCACGTGGTTGCACTACTGAACCGTCTGAACCGCGACCGTAGGAAGAGAAAACAATAGAATTCCTTGGCCAATGAAAATATAAAATAGAAAAAATGCAATTATTCTATTGTTATAATTAGATAATAATATTAGTAATATATTAATTTTAATAATTTAGTAATATTATAGTATATTAATTTTGATAATTTAGTAACATTAGTAATATTAATTTGATAATTTAGTAATACTAATTATTTTATTATGTATTCTTTGTTATCTTTTTCTTATGCATTGCATTCTCGTCCGGAATGTCGCGAAATATAATTTAATAATATAATGGGAGACTTCTCGATTAAGCTTCAATTAATTATGGCAATTAATAAATTAAATTTGGCAATTAATTTACTAAGTAATATCATTTTGTGAGCAATTATAATCACATCTTAATATAATACATATATATTAATATATATATAATATATTATATAGATAATATAATATATATAATATATATACTTAATATATATATAATTAAATTCTAATCTTATTGTATATTTTAATAAGTTTACTTTGATAGAATTAATGTTTTGTTATTTAACACCAGAAAAAATAGATCGACTAACAGCGAGGTGGAATGTTAAAGATGAAGAGATTTTAAGAAAGATTGTATAAAAATGTATTTTTTTTTTTTTTTTTAAGAGACAGTGTAAATCTTTTTTGTCAAAAGCCAATCAATTTTGCATATAAAAAGTATATCGCCTTAAAACCATAAAATTTTGTGTTTTTAATATTAATTCGAATGTATAATTTCAGTCTCTGGTAACTCTGCGTGTAGAGAGAAAATTATTATATGCAAATAAGCGTATGTTTTCTATTTTATGCTGTTATATAAATATTTTCATTGACGTAAATTTATATTGTATATATTTATATTTTATATTGTATATATATTCTCTGTAAAATTTATGATAAATTCATGTTGAAAACATTAATGTACATTAAAAGCTGTGATAAAATACTAATTAGTTATGTATAAAAACACTACATGTATAATATATAATATATGAGTATTCCTAGCGTATTATTTTCTGTTTCTATTTTTAGATACTATTTCATTTATTTATACCGTATTTATATTTTATGTATCTATATTTCGAAACCACAATTTACCGGAAAATCTCCCAGGGAAAACTTATTCGAGGAGTAAGTAGTTCTAAAGTAAAGAGAGAAGACGATCGAAGATCAAGGAACCTTTCGGAGAGTAGCGTATCATTTTCCAGACGCTATTTCACTTATTTATATCGCATTTATATTTCATCAATAGATTTCGAGGACACGTACAGTTTGCAGGAAAATCTCCTAGGGAAAATTTTTCGAGAAGCAAGTAGTTCTGGAGTTAGGGAATCTTTCGGAGAATATAAGACGTCGAAAGATGCAAGAGTAAACATGCAGTTTTGAGAGCAGCAGACGTTACGAGAAAAAAAAAGAATCGATCGCGGATGAACGCCAAAATAACATCGTTCTCATATTAATAGGAATTCCGCGTATATTTTTCGTGGCTGATAACGTTACGCCGACGAAACGAACGCCGACGAATACACGCGTTCGACGATGGTATTCTCGGGTTGCATCGCGACGGTTATTATCCCTGTAGGAACGCCGCGTTTGGATATCGACGTAAAATTCGAACCATTGCGAAGAGGACGCCTGCGACTAACAATGGTATCGCATGATTACGCATGCATTCCACCGTGCGCACATGCATATATATACGTACGAGTAGAGAGGATAAGCGGAGTGATTACGCGAGTCTACATATGCCGCGCGCAGCTCGATCGTCTGTGATAATCGAGGTTTATTCGTAACGATCTCGAACGCGAGGTATAAA